ATGCTGGCTGGCCGCCAGCATCGTCTTGCAAGGCGTAACGCCGTCGATAGACGGCCCACGCGATCGGAATGTTCCTTGTTCGCGCACGCGTCGGTGCGTCACTACTAGGCCACTTGAACATCGGCGAAGTTAGCTACAATACAAATTCACACCAGGAGATCGGCAATAGCGTTGAGCGCTCTTCAGACTACCCAATGTCGACGATGAGCATTACCTGCATACGGACTTGGAACTTGTATTGAGGCCTGCCAAGCTATAGACGATGTTTTTACGAAGTACGAAAGGTCCGCGTCTTCGCAATAACCCAGTCTTAGACGCTGTTCTTCAACAAGCCGGGTGGCTTCATCGGCAAGCCGGCCAGTGAGCAGCGCACCGGGTCATCTTCATCCTCATTTTCCTGTCTCAGTCAAGCCACGACCTCGACAGTACGACCAATGTTCCGGACGACAACATATTGGTTCGCGTTGCATGGATACCGCTGTGGATAGACGAATGTACTTTGGAGAGTGGTTTTGTGCTAGTTTAGAATGAGAAAGCACTTCCGTCGGCGCCACAATGGCGAAACCGTACGGATACCGGAGCAGACTCCCAGGGCAGAATAGGAGACGGCGTCATTGAGTCGGTCACGCATGACGGATCGGCTCCGTTTCCTATAAGGAGCCTCGTTGGCAGGATCCACGACATCCACATTGCATTGTGCAGGGGCTGCAGCACAGTGCTGAGAATGCACAGGACTGTCCCTGAGGCCTAGTTGGTGTCAGGGTTCCAGGTTTGTCTTCAGCAGTATCCACTTTTACCCCTGAGTGTTGGTGTCGGTACCTTGCAGGGAGTTGCGGCTAAGCCAACCAGTTTCGAGACAGTCGACGGGGTCTCGACGAGAAGGTCGTCATCATTGGCCGTCGCGGTTGGAGCTTGTCCGAATTGAGTCAGGCGAAAGATCGCCGATGGGCTGCCCTGTCGGGTTAGTCAGGCAAACGGAGAGAGAGCCAGGATGTACTATGTACCGTAGTATCTCAAGGCTCCAGGCTCAAGACTCGAGAGGCTTATGGAACCGGGGCAGAACGACAAGACATAGGGCCTGAATGGGAAGGGGGGTGGTGGGCATGTTCATTGAGGGATCCGCCTGCCTTCTACCACGCCTCCCTGCCCCGTCTCAGTCAGTCTCCATTGTGCTTCTTTCATCTGATCTTTCCTCTTCCCGCTTCTGGTTCTCTCGCCTCCAGTCCTAGTGTACCTAGTCCCGGTCTGCCTCTAGCCCCCATCCAACTCCGACTTGTCGGACATGTTCTTAGAGCCCTGTCGGACCCGTGGCCGTTGTCCTTCCTCCGCAGAAAATCAGCCAAGGACCCTGGAGAAGACGGGTCACAATGATCGGTGTCTTCAAACGGGACTATCGCCGCATAAAGGAGAAAGGGGCAGACAGTCGGGCAATGACAAGCGGCAGTCGCATAGTCCCGTGCGCCGTTGGTGGGAGATCGTCGTTGCGCAAAGTCCACTCGCCGATGGCACTGGACTCGAACAATCCAAACATTTCTTACTGACTCGGCCCTCGAAGGCAGCAAAACTCGTCAGTATACTCCGTGCGACGGGTCATCTTTCCTAGCGGCACCCACCGCTTGCTTTGACTTGTCGACCCGCCGTCCTCACGGTCGATTTTCATTACACCGATATTCTTCAAAGAATCCGCCCAGGGCCCATGGCCAGCGTCACCGGACCTGGCCCTCCGATCCTCTGGTCTGTTGCATTCGTTCCAGAAGAACCGTCGAACGTGAGGAACCTGAAATCCATGGATGGCCCCCCTTGGCCTGCCCCTCCCCCTATCTCAGGCCCTGTTGAGTTAAACCTCGCTTGCAGAAAGCCCTTGAGCGACCGGCTCTTGTCGCTGGACCCTTTATGGGTAATGCGCAAGATTGCCGCAAGAAGTAGACGAGGCAAGGGGACTGGCGGGATGTAGCTTTGGCATGATCCGTCGCGGCGTCTGTGGCACCAGCCCACTAATCCAACCGGTGGTATGGAGGTCCGTCGCTGACAGGCTGCCATCACGAACATGCGGCGTTACAGGGTATGTCTATCAGATGTGCGCTTGTCGGCTGGCCGCCGTCAAAACCGCTCTGCAGCTACCGATGGGCAGGGACGGACACTCGAGTCAAAAAGCAATGAGCACCATCGGTGCTTCAAGACAGGCAGTTGGCTTGACAATAGCGTGGCGCACCGTCATCCGCCTTTTCCTTTGTTTATGGCTGCAGCATAACAATATTCATGTCCGTTGTTGTCAGGTGCCATCTGCACGACCAGACGACCGTCAGACCTTCTCAACTCTCATGGCCAGCCTTAACAGCACACAACACCCACTATGCCGAGAGTGTAGTCGACTGCAGTATTGTTCACCGCTCATGAAGCATGGCCGTAGCCCGATCCCTGATCCAATGGTCAGGTCGCGACAGCCCAGATCCCCCCCATCAAGGCATGAACGACTACCCCGCCGCTCCGACACACCATTGCGCGCTTCGACGCGTCTTGTTTGTTTGTTCTCTATGCTTCAGGTTCGATGGCAGACTATTGCAAGGAAGACGAGTTACCAATATGCTGACAGTGGTTCTATACTGCGCGCAATGTATCGGGCGTTAGGAGACGATGACGACTATCCACAGCGACTCTAACTGATGATACTTGGAAGACCATTACCTAACGCCAGTCAGCTGGGGCCGCTTGGGTTCTCCCCCCCGATCAAACTGGCGATTCTAATGCACAATCCTGGGACCATCGACGTGGCCGCTCGTCTAAAGGTACGACTTCGTCGATCTGGCGAGCTCTGACAGGGCACACAAAACTGCCGTGACACCGGGCCAAGCAATCCCAATTAAGTTTGCTGAAACTGACCAGGCTCTCGCTTCTTCGACAAGCATGGCAGGCGTCACAGAGAAACCTCCGATTGAGCCTAGCTCCCCCCGCTGGTACAAGAGCATTTGGAGGGAAGAAACCGCCAGTCATACGTCGCTAGCTTCGACACAGCTCCGCCGCATTGTGTTGCAACGCGCGACAGAACATTGCTACCAACAACTCCATGTCTGGGCCTTTGAAGGCTAGGAAGAGAGGGGAGGCCACATCAGCATGAACCCCGTGGGCCCCATAGAGAGGCTGTGCCAGAGTGGTCCCTGCCGTCCTCTCTCTGCGACGTCAACGTCGTGCATCTGCAAGAGATCGCGCACCTGGGCTTGCCAGTGATCCACGCTAGCGTTCGTCTGGTCTTTTTTCCGGCTCTCTCCGAGACGGGACCCCTGGCCGGACTGCCGTTGACAGCTGCTTGACCGGGACGGAGCTTGACTGCCGAATTGTTCGGACCAATATATCGCCTCCGGGTAGCCCCGGCTTCCCATGCGACTCGGCCCATCCGGGAGCGGTAGATGTACATGACTCGGAACGCTGGTGAGCGGGATAAGGCCCCCAAAGAACACTTAAAGGAGGAGTGGCGACGACCGACCGCAACAGTCTTGTCGCATGATGGTCCCGGCTTCCCGCGCCTCGGTAGCATGCCGTCCGAACTTTGGTTGATTCCTGTAGGGTCCGCTTGATATATTAGGGCCGGCCGGTATAACCGTATCTGCCTGCCTGGCTACCGACCCGGTTGGACAGATACTTCTCTAACATCGGCGGGAGGATCAAATAGGAGACGACGATTCGCGTCCTCCAAGCATCATCCTTTGCGGCCTTGTAGCAGGTTGAGGGTTGGCGTGGTAAACAGCACCATGACACTCGGAGTATGCCGATTAGGGATTCGCACGCGACCTCTCTTCGCTTGCTGGTTAGAAGCCAGTGATATGAATCGCTGGATGTGGTATCTGTACGGGGGGTTCGCGAAGAGCCTTACGATGTAAGAATGCTGAGGCCATGATATCGCCTTCATGTGTTATTAGTAAGAAATGCTGAGTTCTGCTCTGCCTAGGATAGAGTTGTGTTGTTCATAGGTTGGCGCGACTCGCACTCGCTCTATCTGACGCAAACGAAGCCTCCGGACTCGTTCTCTTTGACACTCTTGCACCAGAACACTGGAACCAGCCCAGGCCAGTACGGCGACTTGAGATCCGTTGAGCCTGGGGCCACCGTCGGCATCTCACTTATCGGTCTCGATGAATCTCGCCACGGTGCTGACGGCAGTTTATGCCATACGGACATCCACATCAGCCTAAAGGTCGACGTGTAAGGCTTTGATTGAGCACACTTGGTTCAAGTAACGTACGGAAGCGGTAAGAATTGGGCTCTCAAAGTCGCAAAATGTTGGATATGCCAAGCCGAGCGCTCTTGCTTGAGGGTTTGGGTGTTCAGCCACCCGTGCTAACAGACAACTGGCATGTGTGGTATTCAAGGCTCTCAAGGCCTTTACTCGACGCAGTCTTTGAGATTCTACGACGGTTGGGAGGTAAGGTATGACGATGCACTTGAGAGAAGAATACTCGGACACAAACTCAACGTTACCCTAGGTGGCCCCTTCGCGGCGTCAACACTTTGATCGCTCTTCGAATCCCGCCGTCTAGACGCACAAGTCAAAAGAGACACACAATTTAGGTCTCAAAGTCTGCGATGTGGAGCGAGGGTAAGTATTGCTTCGAAACATGTAAACGTATTGTTCTGTCCTTGCAACCTTGAATGATATGATCATTTACTTGTGTAGGTTTTTCGTAGATATGCAAAAGTACTAGTATTGAACAATATATTACCCAACCATCGAGCGCAGCCACGACGACCTGGAAGCATTTCCCATGTATTCAGTGACCTCGCATTCTTTCCCGGTTTTGGATACACTCAACGCTCGCCCGAAATGTGATTCTGCTCCGTGGTCCAAAAGTCAATCATACATCGTGGATACATCCATTCGAGTCTCACGCAGTGTGATTCGTCCGCACAAGGTATCTATAGGCGTTGGCATGCGACAGTTGCTTGAGCGCGCCTCCAACCCGCGCTCTGCCGGACGAGCACAGCCATCACGATCCGACCCCCAGGCTTCACAGCTCCTTCATCACCTCCCCGACAGCCTTCTTGGCCATCCTCCGCCGCTGATCCTCCGGCAGTCCCGCGCTCATGTCCCTCACGGCTTGCAGCTTCCGCATCATCCGCTCAATCTTCTCCACCTCATCGCCGTCCAGCTCCTCGTCCTCTCCGTCCCCGTCCTTCCCAGCGCCCTCTTTGGCCTTCTTTTCGCCCGATGTCTCTCGCTCGGCATCCTTCTTCCCATCCTTGTCGTCGTCTGCTACGTCCGCGTCAAGCTGCTGCTCCTGCTCCAGGTTCCAGATTGCCTTCTTCAACCCCTCAAAGTCAGACTTGTCGAAGCCAAAGTCCAGGCTCTCGGGGTCCAGGTCAAAGTCCTCCTCGTCGCCGTCGCCGTCGCCGTCCGCAAGCGGCCTGCGTTTCCGGGGGAGGCCCGCCGTCGAGTCCGCGTCGGAGTCGAGGTCGGAGGGCCCGCCGTCGAGGTCGTCTGCGGCATCCCAGTCGTTGGATTCCAGGGCCTCGAGGACTCGAGGGATGCCCATTTTCTCTAGGCCGTTGTGTCAGTACAGTCTCTTGATTGGTAAGATTGCCAACACGCAGCGGCGTCACCCCGCCATGGAGCACATCTCGGGCTCGGAACAAGAGGGGCGTAATGGAGACGTTGAAGCAACAGAGACACGGGGCCACAAACCTCCAAACTCATTCTTGCCCTCGTCCTTCTTTCCTCCTCGGACCTGGACGAACTCGAGCCCCCACTCGGCGCAGAGCTCCTCCCACTCCTCCGCATCGCCGTCGCCGACGCCGATACCGAGCCCGACGCCGTCCCACCCCCAGCCGCCGAGGCCTTCACGGACGACCCTGCCGACCTCGGTAATGAGCGCGCGGGTGTCGTCTGCCGAGGGCGGTGGTGCAGGTGCCGCAGGTGCCGCCGTTGTCGTCGTCGGGGTCACCGACGAAGCATCAGGAACGGGCGCTGTCGCGCTGGACGATGACGATGCCAAGGGCAGCGCGAAGACGACGGCCAAGCCGCCGAGCACAGTGAGGACCTCCTTGGCCTCGGGCGAGAGGAACGACGCGGACCATTCCGTGGGCGACGAGATGAGGTCCAGCCAGATGGGCACGTCGGCGGTGTAGTAGCTCGTCTTGAGGGAGAGGAGGTGCGTTGTGCCGGCGAGGGTTGTCGATGCGGGTTCCGGGTGGTAGCCCGTCAGGTCTGCATTTCACGTCAGATGCTGTTCTTTCACGCCGTTTCTACCATGAGTGCCGTTTTGAACTGCCCTCCTTCCGTGCTGCTGGCTTTGCGTCGGGAGGCGCATCGAGCTCGTGATGCCCTCCCTCACTCTCACTCAGTCTTCTCACTCGAGCATCATGGCGGGGCAGAAGCGTCCCGCATGAGGGATCGGCCCCGATAAGATAAGGGAAACGCGACGGAGGACCGAGTTACCTTTGATGACTCTGCTCAGGTGCTGCGTCGAGTCGACGAGCGAGACCGCCAGGACCCGGCGCGGGTTCTTGACCTCCATTCTCTCTTGTCTCTCGCTGTTTTCGCCGATGAGCAATGTGCAACTCGGAGGCGTTTAACGGGGTGCGACGACACCAAAAGGTAGCTTGGGTGAGGTGGGAGAGGAAATGGCGGGGCACGGAGGGGGTTCGCGGACGCAGGGTCCAGGCGGGAACGGATTACCTAAACGATCGGACCGGGAGCTTAGGTCACTTTGCCCGAGCGTACAGCAGAGCTCCCTTGCCATGGCGTGGGACGTGGGACGGAAGCTTCGGCTGCTACACAGATGGGATGGCCTTTTCTCCCTCTTTTAGCCTGTACGAAAACCTCACACGCTCCAAAAACAAGACAGCTGCTCGCTGTCTTGGTTGTCTTTCTTCACAATAAACTGGGTCTTGTGTGGTTTGTATATCAAGTTATGCTTTTTGTAAGTATCCTTGACCCTCGCTATTATGCCAAACAGTGGTATTCCAAGCCAAACGATGGAGAGAACCGAAACAGGAAAAAGATATTCGTAATGCGTCAATCTGGGAATCGTTCCGAGGCGATGCAAGTGGGCGAGTAAAGAGGAAAAAAACACCCGCGATCCTGGCCATGAGGAGAAACAAGCAGCAAGCAAAAGCACGACCAAACCATCCTAAATGAAGGAGACACATGACAAAAGGACTCCAAAGTCAAAGACTTGTCCGAGAATACAACAAATCAGGCTCAGCAATCACCTCCCCATCCAAAGTGCCGGTTGACGACGTTCATCGCACTAACGCCGGCCCTCACGAGGCCCCTCGTCGTCTCCCCATCGATACCCGCGAGGACCTCCTCGAAGCTGGTGTCCTGCCTTCCCTCGGCGTCTCTCAGGTCGCGCTGGTCCAGCTCGCCCTGCCGCCTCTCAAGAACGGCCTTGGAGATGGCCCGCCCCCACATGTTGAACCAGTCGAGCTCCGAGAGGGTAACGTACTCGCGCCCCGTGACCCTGCCCGTCTGCGGGTCTCTCCGCCGGCGGGAAAAGGGCCACTCGGCCTCGACGACCTCGAAGCGCTTGGTGCGGAAGAAGAGGTACGGCCAGGCAAAGACCCAGAGGAAGGTCAGGTAGAACAGCCAGCGGACCCAGGTCGTCGAGCGCCAGCGGTTCACACGGCACGTGTTGTAGACGTCGACGCGGGCGTCCTGAACGGGGAACGAGACGTCAATGTGGCCTCGGTAGTGGGTCGCGCGGACGAGGTCCTCGAGGCTGCCCTTGAGCTTCTCGTCGTCGTCGAAGCCCGTCACGGTCCGAAGCAGCGTAAAGGTCTTGAGCCCCGCGTGGGACGCGCAGTAGCGGTGGCACCACTCCCGCAGGGTGGGCTGCCTGCTCCCGTCGGCCCCGATGCTGTCGGACGACGAAGACGAGCCGCCGAAGCCCGGAGCGCGGGTGGGAAAGACGGTGCCGCGGCGGACCTTTTGGAAGTTGTCGGCGGTGCGCAGCTCGCGCCAGGAGCGGCGGGCGGCGATGTCGCGGTAGAGGAAGGGTGTGAGGTCGAGGCGAACGTCAAAGTCGACGACCGTCTTCGTCTCGGTCTTGTCGTCGCGCTTGCGGACGCTCTCACTGTGGGTGCCGCGGATGCGGACGTGCGGTCGGGGTGGGAGCTCGGCGAGGGCAGTGATGTGGGATTCGAGGTAGGTCGGGTCGGTGTCGAGGCGGCGAGAGGTGTGGATCTCGGCGCCGGTGACGGGATCCTTGCGGAAGAGGAGCGGGGAGGGGCCGGCTTCGTCTGCGAGAAGGGCGGTTGTGGTTGTCGTAACAGGGTGTCCTTTGGTGCCAGAGGATTGGTTTTGAGGTTCGTCCGTGTAGGACGGCGGAAGGTCGTGTGCTGCCGAGGAGGAGGCGGCGGCGGCGACGTCATCAAAGTAGGGGTCGTTTGTGTGGAGGGAGTAGGCGTCGGGGGGTTGGTCGAGGCGGAGAGCTGGAGGGTTGACCGAGGATTCGTCCTTCTTCGAGTCGGGCTCGAAGGGCGAGAGATCCGGGGAGAAGGCGCCTGGCATCGACATTTTGCGTGGCGATGTTTTGTATTGGGTGCGGAGGAAGAGAAGGGCAGGTGGACGACGGCCTCGGGTGAGGTGGTGCAGACGAGGACGGCAAGGGTCCTTGGTGATGCAGTGTAGGATTGAAGATGGAGATGGAGATAGCGATATAGCGTAAAGTCAGTGAGCGAACTTCCAGCAACCACAACAAATCACACAAGATAACGAGAGACGATGGCGAGGAGAGAGGATGGAGGTGAGGTGAAGGAGGCGGGAAGGGAATAGCAACGCGGTGTGATGCCGCAGGCAGAAAGGGAAGTTTCTCCTCTCTTGTCTCTGTCTATTGTTATTTTGGCTTTGGAGACAAGGTTCCAGGCCCTGGAATCTGCATCCCAAGGGTCCTTGGCTTTTGGCCACCCCCCTCTGCTCTGGCCACAACCCATTCCTGGAGGACTTTTGGATGGAGGAGAAGCGACGGCGGGATGCCCGCCCGGCGCATGATGCAGCCAGTCACAGCCCGTCGTCGGACTGTGGTAGGTCCTCTCCTATAGGCAGAATCCCCACCGCCAGCGAGGCTGCCTATTCGGGCTCATTGAGTCGGGGCACACACGGCGCAGCACCAACCGAATCCCGTAGCTAGCTCCCTCTCTCTCTCTCTCTCCCTAGTGTAAATTGGGCCGCGCCCCCCCCCCCCCCCCCCCCCCTGGTGTCAGCCACCCAATGAGGGAGAGGGTTTGGCCACTCAGCTAAGAGGAGACGGCCATTGGGGGAATTAGGGTTCTTCATCTCCACCTTTTCCCTTTTTCTTCCTTCTCTTCCCACGGTGCGGTGCCACGCCACCTGCCACCGCGCCTCAGTGACTCGTCACGGTTTTGGTGTGTCGTCCCACCGTTGAGACGTCGCTCGTGCCACCAGCTCAATGCGATGAACCCGGCTCTCGGTGGAGGGTCAGACTTGTCAGATGCACCCCAAGAGTCTCTTGTTGCCGCAAGTTCGGATACAGTCGCCTTGTTTAGGAGATGGGCGACGAGGCAACATCCCTGAACTGCTGTGCCGACTTGTTGACTTTGGTACACTTTGCGTGCGTGGAACCGACAACTTTGTGTTGCTGACTTGCCTCCGACACCCGCAACGTGCGAGACCGAGCCCTGTGTTGGTATGCTTCAAAAGTCCAAAATGCCGTTCTTGGTTTTGGCCAACGCTTCGTCGTCCCAGGATTGTTCCGGGACTGATACAGACCCTGGGTCTCGCTTCAGACGACAGCTTTCGGCTTCCTCTAGCCTGCATGGAAGCCAGCTAGCGGTCAAACTTCCGTCATTGTACCTACACAACCCCATCGGCGCCACGTGCAACTCAATTCGCCTGAATAGATGAAAGACTCTGTCGCCGCAAAGTAGTTTAGCACGAGGCACATCTCAAGTCCCATCACTGTGCCTTGCGAGCTTGCAACTTCAACCTCGTCAGGCTCGCCGGAATCCGACACAACTCAAAATCGGAAGCAGTCATGTGAGGGGCACCTCCTTCAGACCCCATTCAGGCATTCCGGAATGTTTGTGTCTTTCTCGCGATTCAACACCAAGTTTGAAATAGCAAGATCCTGCTCTGGTCTTACGGAGAACCGTACACATAACGAACCGAATCCAAATTCGCAACTCACCATGCCCCTTTGCTATACACTCAAGCTGGCGAATCCTTCGCTTCTGTCCGTCCCATACTTGTTGCCTTGACTTGAGCTCACTTACACGAAAACCATTCACACAAATAGGCATTGGGTGAGAACATTGTCAATCCTTTGTCCATTCGTTCATGAAGGATCGACCTCACGACAACAGCGCTGGGATCCGGGCATGTAAGACGGCTCAAAAATGTTCCCACAATCGCAAGGTTAAAATTCACGCAGTGCCAGGAGGCCACAGGACTCGACCACGCGCGTTTCCCCCAGCATGGAGGTGCGGCAGGGCAAGACAGGAAATGCGAGTTGGTGAGATACCGCGGGGTAAGCAGAGGCGCTTGTCAGCTTGATCGAGCAAGACATGCAGGACGACGATTCTTCAGCCGTTCAGATTGGGAGCGCTAAGTGCCAAGAGCTGAACCCCCTCCGCGACATCCCGTTCCACGCACGCAGTCGAGAATAAGTGCCAAGGAACCCGAAAAGAACAGATGGACCTGTTCGCATCGTTAGGCTGTTGAGCGCCGTTGGCGTTGGCGTTGGCGTTGGCGGAGCTGCAAGCCATTACTTTCATCGGGTGGTCATGCCGTTATGCTTGGGCGTTATGCTGTATCCACCAACACGGATCAAAACGGGTCCCTCACCACGATAGATAGTTATGGTGTCGCCAGGCAAGCAGCTTTATAAGACCGCTCGATGCACTTGGATATTGTGTTACAATCCGGTCTCCAGTATCAACCATCGAGTAAATCTTACATTCGACATTCGCATCAAGTGCACTACTTCACAAAAACCCCGCGCGGCTCCCTTTCCATATCATCCTACGATACCACCACGAACGCTTCTATCATAAACAACACTTTCCTCCCCATATTAGAATCTATCCCCAACAGCCATGGCAACCTCCCGTGCCTGGACCTTCACAGCCCGCGGCAGCCCGCGCTCCGTCCTCTCGCTTACCCCGCGGCCGGCGCCCACCCTCCCGCCGGCGCCCTCCCTCCTCGCCAAAGCGAAGCCCGTACCCAACGCAGAAGACGGCAACGAGTGGCTCCTCGTCAAAGTCGCCTATGCGGCTCTGAATCCCGGCGGCCATTTCTACGTCAGCATGATCCCCGGCTTCGCGCGCGCAAAGACGGCCGTTCCGGAGATGGATCTGAGCGGGACCGTCACGGACGTGTGGGGCCCCGGGTCCGAGCCTGGCTCGGCACCGCGCCCCAACGAGCCGGCGACAACGTCCCGAACAACCAAGGGTGCACCCTCCACGGTCGCTGCAGCGACGAAGCACAAGGGCAGGTTCGCCAAGGGCGACCGCGTCGCCGCCTTCATCCCCATCTCCTACGGCTGGCCGACCGGCACCGGCGCCCTCGCCCAACACGTCGTCCTCCCCGCACGCTACGCCGTGTCTGTTCCGCCGCACATCTCGCTCCGGGACGGGAGCAGCGTGCTGACAGCGGGTTGCACGGCCGCCATGACCCTGCGTCCGGCGGCACTCAAGAAGGGGGACAGGGTCCTCGTCAACGGGGCCAGCGGCGGCGTGGGGTCCCTGGCGATACAGATGGCTCGCGCCGCCGTCGGCCCCGAGGGGTACGTGGTTGGCGTGTGTTCGGGACGAAATCTGGACATGGTTCGGAAGTTGGGGGCGGACGAGGTTGTGGATTATACCGCGTCCTCGTCGCCTGTGTCTATCACTCTGAAGGAGAAGTTTGGTAGAGAGGGAAAGCAGTTCAATGCCATTGTGGATTGCATCGGCGTGCAGGACATCTACACGAACTGCGCCGGGTATCTTGTTCCCGATGGAGTCTATTCCGCAGTGGGGATCAAGCCGGTGACTCAATCGTGGGGCGGGTTCATGAAGGCGGTCTGGCAAATGCAGAAGAACGCTCTTTGGCCCCTTTCGACATGGTTGGGCGGCACCGGTCGGCGGTGGGCGGCGACGGCCATGATGGACCCCGGCAAGGAGTTGATGGAGGAAGTTGTGGGCATGCTGTCAGATGGAAGGATCAAGGCCGTTGTTGGGAGGGAAGTTGATTTTGAGGAAGTTGCGGATGGCTATGATATTATTGGGAGCGGAAGGGCGAGAGGAAAGGTTGTCGTCAAGGTTGACGATGAGTAGGTGTTTCTTTAACTTACGATGGTATGTGTGGACTGTAAAACTATAGACTATGGCTACTCTAATTATCTTTCTTTGGCACGGTGGCTGGCAAAAGGCATTTGCAACAACTTGTTTCTCATCGTCTGGCGTGTGCGGTCGAAAACTCTCTATGGGTATATAAGGTTGAGCTGCCTCCCCTCTGGTTATTGACATTACAATGCATAAAACTTGTAGCACTACCCCCTCAGGCTCTTTGCATGTTAGAATATCCATGAAGCGGTGGTAAGAGGTTAAGTTGAGCCTCAACACTCTAGACCCCGGCCATGTCTATAGTCGAAGGCAAAAACAACCGCCTTGGCGTACGCGAGAGCTGCAGCCAACACCTACGATCCGTCAGCAAACTGTATCTGCTTCACATAAGCTATCTAAAATCTCTCCATCTCAGACAATTCAGCTTACCATTACGTGCATGATTTGATGGCTCGCCCCTAGCAAGTCAAACGTCTTCGGGAACCATCGCTCGGGAAACTGATCAACCTGTTAGCAAACACGGAGAATTTTCTGTCCGCGACAGACACCAAGTCACAACGTCGCAATGTACACAGAAAGCAACTCACCTTGGCCCAGTACACCGAAACAGCAATGAGGTTACACCCAGCCGTCGCCAAAACCCACCCGCCACCAACCCTCTCCCAAACCTCTCCGACGCCCTCGACAACTGCCCCGTGTCCAATAGGCAACACAAATGCCCCAAGACCGAAGGCCCCAAAAAGCGCCGCGCGGTGGTGACCCAGGTCCACGGCTCCGAGGTCTGGCCTCGCCGTCGCTGCGGCGCAGAGGGCGGCGAGCAAGCCCGTCAGCGAGATGTATGCGTCGCGGGTGTAGGGGCTGCACGGGAAGACGTAGTGTACGAGGGGAAAGACGGAGGACCACATCAGCGCGAGGACTCCGTGAAAGTCGGCTTTGATGCCAGAGAGGTAGACAGCTTCGCTGTGTGACATGAGGGTGTGGAAGCTTGGTGCAGGTTAGCTTGTACTCTCCTTGAACTTTGAGGGTCGAGTAGGCCACTCTTAAGAAATCTCAAGGCTCGTCATAGCAAAGAAAGAGAAGAGAAAAGATCATCTTAGCGAGAAAGAAATAATCTACTTACGCGGTCGAGAGGACGAAGCAGATGGTTACGCCAAGAGCGTAGACGCTGCACACGACCACGTCTGCAGTCGTGGCGATGCCCCATCTGGGTGGGATCCCGTCGCTGAAGACGTAGAACGGCAGTAAGACGAAGAGTGCCGCTCCAACTACATGAGAGTAAATGTTCACTAGTCGAAGCATTAGTCCTAGAGATATTGCAAGACGAAGGGGTCAACATGGCTTACTCGATTCGTTGTGGATATAAGTCCAACTGGCGAAACATTCAAGCACCGATTTGCATGCCTTCCTATAGATCAGGTTGGTCAACAGCATGAACCAACTATTCCTGCGTAGTTAACCTACCGATACCCGGTCCTGATGTGGTCACTCCCGCATCTGCTGTGAGTGAGCCTCCGCTCCTCCACACATTGACAAATCACTCACTGCTGCCACTCAGCTATGTTGTTTGTTAGAAAGCTTTGATCACACGTGTCACGGCGGAGGATGCTCACGAAGTTCCTCCCACGAAAGCAGGAAAGTCGTCTTTTCCACTTTTTCTTCAAGCTGCTCTACATTCCCCCGACCCCACAGCCGCCTCCTGGATGGATCGCTGTCGATGGCCGTTCTGAGCCTTCGCCTCAGAGCCGAAGTCGAGAGAATAGCGGCCATTATCTCTTGGTTATTTCTCTTATGTTTGGCGTATGTCGCCGAGACCCGTAACGAGTGACGGAAGGGCGGAAGCCAAACAGACCACCGTCCAACACCCTGAGCTGCACACTCTCGAAAATCACTTTCCGAGCCACCTCACCTGGCCGAGTTGAATCTGACTAGATCCAAAGACGGAAACAAAATGTAGAGAGCTGTAAGGCAACCTGAAAGTCGCAACAAACAAAACAGTGCCAAGACTCCCTGTTCTTCCCCTCTCATTAGGACAGAACGTGTGAAGGAACAACAAACACCGACTTTTGCCTCCCATGGGAAGAAGTTTCCGCACCAAGCCCTCTTGAACGGCATTGAACCCATTTCCTGCTCACCGCTGCACCCGCGAGAAGGAAATAAAAAAACCCACCCACCCGAAACCACGCGCCGGAAGCGCGCCGATCCGGTGCGTCCCGTGCATCGGACCATTGCTAATTGCGACGACGCTGATGCACGCCCTTGAATAGCGCATATACAACCCACCAGAACGCAGGAGCGATCCAATCTTTGAACTGGGACCGGGAACAAATGAGGAGGGACAGCTTCTTACGTGCGGACCAGGAAACGGTCGTTGCTGGTAACCGCAGGTTGATGCAGGGTAGGACCCTGGCGAAGAAACAACATTGTCTCCTGCTGCTAGACGGGCTTGTAGGAACTAACGGAAGCCGGCACGACGTGAGGTGGTTTTCGCTTATGGTCGCCAATGGTTTTCGTCGATCCGTCAAAACGTCAAAACCGAGGGGAAGTGGGAAGTCAGATATGCTTGCTTGCACCTCCCTCGATTAGATGAACGACGGCAACTTCAAAGAGAGGAGCTCGCCCGAAATGTGTGACCGAGTAGTGTCTGGTTGCAACCATTGACTGGTATGCCGATCAAACCTCCATATAGGCCTACTATCGTTTCTCTCTTGTACTGTTACCGTGTTCGCCAACCACGTGGACTATTTCTGGGAGCCAAGTCTTCTTCGCCAATGGTACGGGCATTGCTCTCTGATCATATGATAACAGGTGGATACAGCAAGACTACCATCTTTACCGGTGAGACAAGACTATAACGCAGCAAAAGAGAAACCAATCAGTTGGTATTATCAATACCTGGAACGAAGACGCAGCTGGCAGCAAGAGGTGCGCGAGACGAATCAAAGGGAAGCAAATACGTGCGCGAAGCCCGCCGATCAGTACCGGTGCCCAAACATCGACGCCTTAAGGGCAGATGACCGGTAGGATGTTTGTCAAGCATGTACGTAATAATGGAACTTTGTAAAACACAGTGGCCAGGCTTTTGGAACGCAGGACCTGTGCAGTTGAATGAAGAGTTGACTATCATGTGGCTTTCTTCTTCCTCTGGCTTATGAATATTTCGGTTGGCATGCATCACAGAAGAGATAACAAGCAAGGGCACCAGCTAGAAGACATCCGTTGGTCTGCCTTTTTTGAACAGCCAAGCTGGTTTCAGCCAATGAAGTGTTGTCATGCCAAGCGAGACGACAGCCGTTCGGTTTGCCCCATTGTCCCTATGCAGCGTGTCGAGAGATGTTTGTTTAAAAGCTTAGCTTCAATTCCTGGCCATCGCATAGTAAGGCCATTTCATATAGCTTGCCAAAAAAGAGTAGGTACAGATGATTGAGGCCCGGTGGACGAAAGTCCAAGTTTCAGTGAAGTCCGAGGTTGGTATAGAGTCCGAGTCCAGCAAATATGTCCTTTTCATGTGTCGATCTAGGTGGACTTCATCGCTCTCGGAACCATCCGATCACATTGACTAAAGGTTTCTAGTATTCTCGGCGCAACAGTGGACTAAATAAAGAGAGACAAGCGATGTCTCGCGGTCAAGTATGCCTCGTTATCAGAACGTTGCGCTTCTGGCCTCAATATCTTGTACACCACCAATCGCACTGCCCAGTGAATATTGAAAGCCAATACGAAAAGGGTTCACTTGAGCATCCGGCATTCTTCCACTACGTTCGAGCGTAAGGTAATTGCAGCAATCACAGTTGGTGGTGTGAATCGTCCACGACCCGAGCCCGCAGACGGCAGCTCTCCTGCCTTGGCTTGTTCGAAGTCGATGAGGAGCTCGTCAGACGGAAATGGCCCACTGCGTTCATATAGCTTTCCTGCCCGTCTGAAACTGTGTAGGCCGAGAGCCTTTACCCGCGGTCTTCTCGAGGGGGCACTAATGACCTTTGGATCCAAAGCAAGTGTTGCATTCCTTGTTGTACCGGCGTCTATGAACGTAGCGCCCTTTTGTCACTGCTAGATCGGTTCTAACCATGGCAGGTGGAAAACCCACGAGACAGCAAAACAACCCAGCGTTTTAATGGCGAATATTAGGGGAGGAAAAGTCGTGAACCTTCCAGCATCCTTCCACAGACTCGTGCGCTTTCTTGCTGGCTTTACATCCAGCATTGCCGCCAAACACCTCACATGCTTAACCGTGCTGACTTCCGACAGACGTTACATTGGCTTTAGCCACGACGTAGGTGCAAGGTCGGACAAAGGAGCATACATCTAAACCCAGGGTCCACGATCTATATAGGTACTCATCGATGGGATCTAGCAGTCCAATAGCCGACGCCTCCAGGAAGTGCCATCGGATCGAGACAACGCTCAACGGTAAGCATTTTCGGTTCGAGAGGCAGGCAGCCTTAGGTCCCTCCAGCTCAGGCTGGGGCCGGCCGACTCCAGCCCGATCGAGCATTTCCGAATCTTATCAAGTTGTTACTCAGTATTAGTGAGCAAACCCCGAGATCGCTCGCCTGACTCGCCGGCGGACCGTACCTGCGTGGTCCCCATTTTCACAGCGATTCAGGCGTTGTCCACTCTCTCGCATTACCAACTCCGGGTTTCTGGGATCGGAGGACTGGTAAGAGTACCTAGGCTCACGCGCAGGGTGCGCTCCACGCTCAATGTTTGATGTGAGCAGGGGGGCGTAATCAACTTGTCGGAGGAAGTGCAACCCCAAAACCTCGCGATCGTCCTCGCTTGGAGGGGTGGATATGGCTGTCGACCCGCAACACACGTTGCCCCCTCTTTCACAATGATCGTCGATTTGCACGTTATGTAGCAACGGCAGGCGAGGTTTTGCGCGATACAACCCTGTTGATCAGAGACCTCGCAGCTGAATCATCATTCTGCAGTCAAACCTGAAGAAGTGCTGGAGCACAAACCGGATGGCTGGGAAAAGTCCTTAGGGCGGTGGTCGACGGTACGCAAGCATCCTAGCCCGTGTCTCAGAAAAGTCACCTTGTGCGACGAGCTGCTATGGAATCGTCATGAGCGAGATTCCCATATGGGAGAGCACCGTGATCCGAAGGCGGCCCTGGCGGGCGTGGGCACTGGAACGGACCGTTCGTGCGATGGCAAAAGGCGAATTACCCCCAGTCGTCCATTTCCTTAGCGCAGAGTGCGAGTCAATATCCCCGTCTCTCCACGATTTGAAAGAATACGATGCCCCCAATGCTACCGCAGGCTGGGTAGTGCTGAGGCGGTTTGTGCTGATTGGCAGGGGTGCAATCCGTGGCAATGAAGACGAGACCGTTGAAAAATGTATAACACAATCGCATTCGTGGGTTTTGTTCGTGAGACATTACTGGCCCAAGAAGATGGTGGTCCTGCCTGCGGCGAGGCGGGTGCTGTATCCGGACGACGAGAACGGATTCATGTCCCTGAAGCAAGACATGCCCTAGAGTGAAGTAGGGTGTGTGTGCCTGCGCTGGCTTACCGCCAGCCAAACAGCTCCTCGGATCGCCAGCGCCATCGCATGCAAGAATGGCGGCCGCATGGGTGCAGCTGACAGGCGGAGTTGTAAGAGGAAGGAGAACGAGGCATTCGAGTATTCAGCTGAAGCTATTGGCTCATGCTGTAAGCCACGCAAAAACTCCGATGTTGGTCTGGAGCTTGGCGGTCTGGGAGAACTCAGAGCCGTGTTTGCATGCCGCCGTAAGCTGTGCCGTCGGCTGTCATGTCCAAAAGATGCCATGTTGGTGCTATGCCCGCGTCGCCATGCGATTGACAAATAAGCAAAGCGATTGGTCCAATGTGCTCAGTTGTGAGAGAAAAAAGAAAGCGAGCAGCTTTGAAGTGTGGGGAGTCTGATCCCACCATTCGAGGCGGATCAGGGGCAATGGCTTGGCCCTGCGCCAACCACCTGCGTAATGGCAGCCAATGATGTTTGGAG